ATATAATATAATATATATATTACAAAGGCATCCAACAATAAATCTGGTAAGTTCCTGTGTCCTCGGTCAGCACGCATTCAGGCTGAACAGTCACTGATTGCGAATACCGGGCACTCATAGCGAATGGGATCGAGTCAGGTCTGGTCGGGCTCGGAGCTCGGATGATCGCCCGACTTGTCATCTTAAAACACAAATGTTGTTTTTCTTTTACGAGACAAAGAGTCGGGCTCGATCGACTTGTGCCATGATAGCCGCTTTGTGCCCTCAATCTGGCTAGAAAACGGACCCAACCCGACCCGACCCGACCCGACCCGATCCCCTAATGGGCACATCATATAGTACTAGGCACAGATGGTGCTCAATTTCAATAAGCAACTTCTCGAGAGGCGGCCGCTTTTGGTGGGTAATTTTCTGTTTTGGTGGACACGTGGGCAATGACAATACTTCAAACAGGCGTTTGTGGTGTAGTGGACAGAGCGCATGCAGGACATCTGAGTTCGATTCCCGAGTGGGGAAAAAGTTTTATCGAGTATCCAGCCGGCCTTTCTGTTGGGTTGTTGTATCCCTCTCAACCCGAATTTGCCCTAGCAGACAAAACTGGTAGCCCGCCTCCTGAATTTTTTAAACTGTGTCTTCATTTTTAAAAAAATGAAAAAGAAATAAATTTACCAGTGGGTGCATGGTTGGCGGATGCTTTGGTGTGGTTTGCTCCTTCTTTCCTATAAAACAAAAACCCACAATTGTCCTTATCTCTCCTCCTCTTTTTTGTGTTTGTTACTCTCTTGTAACACCTCTAATCTTCGGCACTTATATGACCTTATTGTGTTACTACACCTAAGCCTACCAATCTTTTTTCCCCACAGATAATAGCTATAGAGACAGCCAGCTAAAGCGGGCCCAGCACGAAAATGTGAAACGGAAACAGTCCGTGCTGTCGGAGATGCGAGAGAAACAATCGATTGTAGTGGACAACATCAAAGTGCAGAGGGTGGACTTCAAGCATCCCAAGGAGCCGTACCTGCTGGCTGTGGTCCTCGTCGTCAGCGGCCTGGCCTCGGGCTACGAGAACGGTAAGAATACAGTCCCACTAGCTGCCGTCTGGACCCCTCTGGAGCCGTCCGGAGCTGTCCGTAGACGTATTTTTTAAAATTATTATTTTGCTTTACATTTTTTTTTGGGGGGGGGGTAATATTTTGTTTTGTTAATAAAACTGGCCTAAAATCATATAACTGGACAGAATTGACCTTTTGCGGAGGACAGTTGATTCGTTATGAACCGGAAGTAGGACGAAGCAGACCAACAATCTCTGGCCGTTTTTTTCGTTTCGCAGTTAAAAATTGTAGACCCAGCCTTTGTTTTCGTGCTCTCTCCCAACCTGCCCCCCCCCCCTCCCGCTCCATTTTTCACCCCATCCAGGTGTAAAAGGGGTAGATCTACCAACTAAAGACAGCGAACGTTTTGTGAATGTAGGTGGTCAGCCCGTAACAGGCTGTAGCGGTTGTAAGAGATGACCGCCCCCCGACGGCTCCGGACGGCAATTAGTAGGACCCTGAGAATTTTAGAGCTGGGCGAAGAATCGATTCCTGAACTGTTTCCCACGATTAAAGCTACCGGAAAAAAGTTCTGACTCCTTTTTACAGAAACCCACGTTTACCAGTTACTTTAATCAGTAAAATCTTCTTTTTAAAAATTCATTTTGGGAAAAACAAAGTTGATGCTTCGTAAGGTTATCCTAAATCCTGAAGATGTGCGTAGCCAATTATGTAACCACCGGAAGAAATCACATAATAAGAAAGTAAGTGATTGGGCTCTGAGTCGATTCCTACGATTCCTAGCTTTCAAAGACAGGGAACCTAGCCGCCCAGCACTACTGAGAATACGCTACCTCAGAACGACAACGTTCTATCTGCTCACTACCTAGTTTTGAGAAATTTAACGTGAAAACTTTTGAGTTTTATAGCATGTTCAGCTTTTACGAATGCAATTCGTTGAATATTTTGATAACGACTCCCAATAATCTTACAATTTTTATGGAGGTGACAGAACATTTGGTTTCTGACCTCATGGTCTTATTAACTCAAAACGGCCAAAAAGGTCAGATAGCGAATACTGGAGCAAATAATAAGGGCCAAATTATGGTCTAGTGGTTATATTTGTTTTAGTAAGTATTTTACGGCACTGCAACACAATAAGATCATACAAGTGCGGACGATTTGAGGTGTTACAAGAGAGGAGGAGAAATAAAGACGATAGATGTTTGATTGGAAAGAAGTAGCAGAGCCCCCGCCTAGTGACTAGGCTCTTGGATTTTCAATAGTAAATTCGTGGGTTCAAGCCCCGCCAGGAGCCTGACGTTTTATCCTTGGGAAAAGCACTTAAATTTACGCAAATTTTCTCACTTTGCTTTGGTGGGAATGTGCACCCAGCTGTAGACTCGCAACTGCATACTGTCATATGAGCGCCAAGGGGTGGATGTCAACAGAGAAGTCCAAACGGGGAATCAGGCTTACTGTGCTCACCTCTCTAGCCCCAACAGCTCAAAGTCTGCTTCGACTACCGGGGCACTCCGGAAATAACAGTTCACAAGAGAGTGACAAACATACAAAAAAGTAAAGGAAAAATGACAATAGTAAGGATGAGGAAAGAAAAAGCAGCAATTCCCCTATGTTGCTCCGGCACAGTACGAGCATGACATTGATATAATATTACAATTCTGCTGTACATAAGAACATGTTAGTCCCCCCCCCCCCCTTGTTTGGGAATGGCCTGAAGACGACATCACCCAGTAGCACTGTCCTGGTGGGGGGGGGGGGGGTCCAATTGTCTGTGATCCACACAGGATTTTTCATCAGATGGGCGTGGCTGACACAAAGACGGGTCCAGTAGGAACTCTCGCAGAGGAAGTATTGAGAGTACATCTGGTAGTGTAGTCTAGGCCCCAAGGACGACACCTCGAATGTATACCATCCATCCAAAGGTCAATTGAATAGATAACTAATAAAAGAATGGATGAATGAATGAATGAATGAATGAATGAATGAATGAATGAATGAATGAATGAATGAATGAATGAATGAATGAATGAATGAATGAAAAAATGATCACTCAAGCAGGCAAAACAATACAATAAAGAAAAAGAAATTAGAAATCAGCCACTCTTCCTATTAACATTTCCTTCATACTGACTCCCCCCCCCCACCCCCCACCCCCAAACGTCTTCCCAATCTACAGCTGCCTTTTCTGAGGTGAAGAAAATGATGACGAGCCAGTTCGAACTCGGGGAACTCTGGACCAAGGCCCTGTCAGAAAGCTTTAACATATGTGCCGCGATGGGCTCTCTTTTGGCGGGATTTTCCACGGACACCGTCGGGCGCAAGGTCAGTCAGGGTGGGGGGTGGAGGGGGGGGGGGTCGCTCATTCAAATGTCCCGGGTTCGAATCCGAGTAGCGACAAAAAAAAATCTCTAAAATTTTCTTCTTTGACCTCCTTCCCTGCTCTCTGGCAATGTTCTGTCATCTGATTTCGTCTCCACTTTCTGCCCCCACCCCTTCACCTCCTTTGCCCCCTCCTCTGGGCTCTTGGCTCTTTCTGCAACTTTTCTACTGCTACTCCTTGGCTCTTTCTTACTGCTGTCTTTCAGCCACATCCCTGCTCTTCTGGTAGGAAAGATCTACAACTAGCTTTCTCGGACAAGAGCGAAAAATCTCGGAGGTCCCGTGTGCAAGTAGCGCACTTTAAAGATTCATAGGTGGTCTAAAATCGATAAGCGTAGGCCTCGGCCCCCAGGCAAAATTCAAAATCTCCTATCAACTGAAAATGTTTATTGTGTCCCGCGCGCTCATGTGGCCGTATGCAGTTGTGAGCGCCTCAAAACACTTTAAAAAAGACCTACATGTTTTTTCATCAAAGGTTTTCTAACCTTACAGCTCACGCTTCACATTCATTATTCGCTTCCTCGGAATCACAAAGTTCTACCTGACATTTTTGGCCGTTTTGAATTACCGATACCGTGAAGCCAGAAAGCAATTAATTTCACTATGTCAATATTGTAGGAATATTCGGAGTCGTTAGCAAGATATTCAAAGAACTGCATTTGAAAAGGCTTGACATATTATTGTGAAACTCAAAAAAAAAATTGGCAAATAATTGCTCTAAATTAGACACCGAGCAGATAGAACTTTGTAATTCTGAAGTAGCGTATTGTCACTATAATTCCACTTCTGCTAGAGTCGTTATTTCTAATTTCGAGAAATTATTTATTAAAGAAAACGAGAGCGCCCAAATCAAAACAACGTCGTGGACACTCTTTATTTTTCTTTTGTAAAAATTTTTTAGCAAGAATTTTACGGCACTTGCAACGCAATGCGGTCATAATATAAGTACCGAAGATAAGATTAAAATGTTACAAGAGCAGTGATTGGATAGGAAAGAAGGAGCAAACCACGCATGAGCACACGCCAATACCTACACCCGTTATTTTGTTCTGTTAAAAGCTAAGAAAGAAGGGAATTATGAAACAGAACAAGACAATCATTGTAGAACTAGCTTGGCGCCTTTCGATGAAACGAATGTTCGGTGCATTAACATCAACTGAAAGTCATATTGGCCTACGCTTGATACACTCTGCTGGAATGGAGCTATAAATCTTGAGAGAAAAGTGACACGTTTGTTTCCAAGTTGCCAAATATTATGTAATAGATGTATAGATTGATTCTCTATTCCACTTTTGTGGTTTCGCTTTCATAATTTCAAAGGTGTGGAATCTGCGCACGGCTAGTGAAAGGAAGCGTCGCTTGTTTACAATGCCGTCTTAGAAGACGGACTTTCCCAAGATTAGATCTAAACGAAACTAATGAAAAACTGAAAATTAAACTACAGTGACTTCAGGCTCCTCCGTGAAACTGTGGGCCCTTTAAATGATTCTGAACCACCTTTAATTTTGTCAAATTCGAAAGCTAAGTGGTTCGGAAATTTTAGGCTGCGAAAGTGTGAAGTTTCACAAATATAATATACTAGATCTAGTTGGGTCCCCTTTTTGATGAAAGAAATGATTGGTGCATTAACAGCAACGGAAAGTCAATGTGCCCACTATATTTACACGCTACTGGAATGGAGCAATGAATCTTGAGAGTAAAGTGACACATGTCTCATGTCATGTGTTTCCAAATTGCCAAATATATAATATATGTATTGATTGATTCTCTCTCTATTCCGCTTTTGTGGTTGTCCTCTCCATATTTCAAAGGTGTTGAACAGTCCGCACGGCTAGGGAACGGAAACCTCACGTGTTTACAATGGCATCTTAGAAGACGGACTTTCCCAAGATTAGATCTAAACTAAACTAATGAAAAACTGAAAATTAAACTGCAGTGACTTCAGGCTCCTCGAAGAAACTGTGCATCCTTTAAAAGATTCAAACCCACCATTAATTTTGTCAAATTCGAAAGTTAAGTGGTTCGGAAGTTTTAGATGGCGAAAGTGACGAACTTTCACAAATTTAATACGTATAGATAGAGATGCCATTTGGTGTCTTTATTCGAATAATGGCTTTGTCTAGAGACTCACCCCCCCCCCTCACCCACATCCTGGTAATAACCTGATCTGAGCAATTGTGGAACAATGCTGATAACAATACTATGAGAGGTGTGCTGACAAAATGAGCTACTTCTCGGATTGTAGACCCAAAATTTAGATACGTGAGATTTAAACATTAGGTTGAGTTTGTGCAGTTTATTAATATGAAGTGATGATCTCGAACGACTTGTTAGATTAGACGAAAATGGCATTGGTTTGGCATTCTACAAGTTTGGCCCATATGACTTTTTAAATTTTCGGCAGAAACCTATTGTCTCTGGTTGCAAGAAGTAACTCATTTTGTAAGCATGTATCACATAATAATATATGTCACAACACGGTGGAATCAGGCGCTCGTCAATTTTTGGGCATATCATTATAGAGTTATTGATGTCATCATATAGCCTGATCATTCAATTGTTTTGGTTTTGATTAGAAAAAATACCCATCTATATTGAACAGAAGTCGAAGTATTTGCGATTGAAGGAGGTGGGGTCTTCTGGTGTCAGAGGTAAAATAAGCACAGAAATGGACGCCAACGTTTGACAAAGAGTGTCCACACCCCCCCCCCCTCTATTTTTTCTCCTAAAACTTGATACTTTAAAACAATCGATTGGAATTGCCTAACTCGTGGAAACATGTCGTTTTTAAAAAAAATCATTATTATGACGAGCACTTGATATCACCGCGATGGCACACATGCGTTTTTGACCTTGACCATATTTTTAAATACGTGAGCTACTTAGCTTAGCCACGCTGTGAGTGAGTGAGTGAGGGAGTGAGTGAGTGAGTGAGTGAGCGAGCAAGTGAGTGAGTGAGTGAGTGAGCAAGTGAGCGAGTGAGTGAGGGGGGGGGGAGTTAGTGAGTGAGTGAGTGAGGGAGAGAGGGAGGGAGAGAGTGAGTGAGTGAGTGAGCGAAGGATGGAGTGAGTGAGTGAGTGACTGAGGGAGTTAGTGAGTGA